GAGAAAACATGTATAACCATCCATTGAAACTATAAGCGTCCCTCGCTAAATGATCGCATAAATAATGTATCGCCTTATGACCTGTATAGCCTGACTAAGAATTTGGAAATTATGAACTCTTTTATTACAAACATGATAATTTCCTACCTGTATCCTGCAAAATAATAATTTGATAATTCATCATATTAGGTCATCTTGAAAGTTCCTGCAGTCTCAAGCTGCTCATTTTGAAAGAACATAACTCCACTGAAGTTGAACAGCTTTATTTGAAGTAATTAGCATAATGCTCGATAATTCCGCGTACATAAAAATTTGAATCTCTAGTCTACACCCGAAAAAAATCGTACCGTAGATTGGTGGTATGTTTCGGAATTAATTTGCTATAGTGTCTTAAAATCGGGTACCACTATCACTGCAAAGTCGTACAGTAACGAATTGGAGGTTGTCCACCAAAAGTTGAAGGTACAGCAACCAGCCTGGATCAACAGAAAAGGCTCCATCCTTTTGTATGACAACGTTAGACCGCGTAGCAAGTACAACTGTGCCAAAATTGCATCAATTGGGTATTGAAATTTTACCTCATCTCTCATATTCCTCTGATTTATCTCCAACCGATTTTCACTTGATAATTTCCTTACACAGAAACGATTTAGGGAACAAGAGGATACTGAAAACGCCTTTCAACAGTTTCTTTCTCTTAAAAATTCGAATATTTACATACGTGGAATTAACCCCTTCACTTATGATTTCTTTTACCGACTGTGCATCTAAGCGTTAGTTATTTATTGTTTCAATATTGCGTCTGGTAAGAAAAGCTAATATATTAGCGATTAATCACTTTTGATAATCTTCAGTCTTATAAATTAAAACGAACGTTAGAGTTGAAATTAACTTTTGTTAGTAACATAACTGTTTTTGTCGCGTCTTGATCAAAATCTGTGCCACGCGTCTGACTCGTTATTATAAGGGGTTGATACCGTTGGGCACTATGGAAATTGTTTTCAGTAGAAGTTATGTTTCCTTTTGAAAATGAACGTGGGCATTTGCAACGATGACCCTAATAGTAAGATGCATCATTCTATTAAGTGATATTCTTTGACAATGTTACAGGTGGTATATTCTTCGCGAACAAAATGCGAGAACAGGGGTACATCACGATGTTAGATCCTCTTCAAGATGCGTTTGGCGAACGCATGGGAGGTCTTTTGTTTCTTCCTGCCCTCTGCGGCGAGGTCTTCTGGGCAGCAGGTATTCTGGCTGCTTTGGGCGCAACGCTGGCGGTTATCATTGACATGGACCAGGGTTTATCAGTCATTTTGAGTGCCTGTATTGCAGTTTTCTACACACTCTTCGGAGGTCTTTACTCTGTTGCTTACACCGATGTTATTCAACTGTTTTGCATTTTCATAGGGCTGGTAAGTTGGAACTAAACACACTCTTATACCGTAGAATACACATATAGTTTTCTATTTTTACTTTATGTTATGACTAATAACGGTGAAACGAAAATATTTCTTAACATAATTGATGTACGCATAATGAAAAGGAAGTTGGTTCGTGGCTAATGTACAAGAATTTATTGCACAGAGTCTTATTATAAGAAACGAATTTTTATTACTGGCTCTTGTAATGTCATTGACATTTATTACTATTTTTATTTTTATAGCTGTTCTGGTAATATTCCAAAGCTTTGTTTTCTCTAACTTAATTTCGATTGCTTTCGTTTTATTTCTTTGCAATTCAATTTATTCTAACTGTAACGTAATTTTTAATACGAAAATAATAATTAGATAACATATTTAGCATTATTTATTTGTTCCAATTTAAATTTCTCATAATCTCTCTTGTTTAATTATCAGGTATTCGTTCTATACATTAAACTACGCAGTTTCTGGGTTCAGTATCACTTTTATTTATAATTTAATATTTTCATTAATTTTCCGTAGTAACACTTGTTTCATAGAAACTCTTGAAGGGATCCTTTATGTAGAAACGAAGCATGAAGGTTGTCATTAACAGTTGCCTGTAACATTTTACGATAAAAATAACTGAATTACGAAATCATTTAACTGAAAAAGTAATAACAAAATTTTTATTTTCCAAATGTATTTCTTCTATATTTTTTTAAA